CGTGTTGGGAAAAGAACCATAATTTGTGGCACATCAACAAGACAGTCCACACTTGCACAGTACACAGCTGAGAAAAGACTGTTAAAAGGTTGGATTGGTCATGGTGGAACATGACTGTAATCTAAGCACTCAGGAGGCTGAGGTAGGAGGACTGCCGCAAATTCGAGGCCAGCCTGAGCTACATAGCAAAATCCTGTCTCAAAGACGAACAAAAGTTGGATCATTTCGGTAACAAGTGTTCAGTTCATTATAAAACAATACCTAAGATACATTATCTTCTCTATGATATATGTCTAACTTTCTGTAACCTCAAGTTTCAATTTTGGCTTAGATTTATTTTACTTTATTTTTGTTCCAAAAGTTCCAAAATCATGTAGGAAACATTCACGTCCATTGTCATATATACGATTAACCAGTTACATGTCTATAGAAATGCTTATTACTAAGTACTGATTGCAATCAACTCTCAACAGCCACAGATAAAATTCTAGCTATGTCAACATTATTTAAATTTTAAGAACTGGGATGTGAAAAGTTTGAGCTACTTTGTATCTGTAAGGAAGGAAAGATAAAAAGAGAAGAGTCCAGTCAGATGGAGCAGTGCATACCTGTAGTACCAACATTTTGAGTCAGGCTATGACAACTTAGTGAGATTATCTCAAAAAAATCAAACACAAAAACAGGCTGAGGATGTAGCTTACTGACACAGTACCCCTTAGTATTTCAGCTGTTCAGTTTACAAATACTGCAGGGGGATGAGGGCAGAAACCTGAAAAAAGCAGGAGTACAATCCCCGGTGTGAAAGTATCTCTTTCACATATGCTACTAATTCCTCAGGAATACTGGTGTTTTAATATCCTTGAAAAACAAATAATTTTTTGAAGAACTTAATTTTCAGTGCCTTATATTACTAGTTCTCCAAATAAGAGATGAGGTATCAGCATATAAATGTTATGATCCACAAGGAGCCAGAAGTTATATACATACACAAATAACTGCATACCAAACAAAAGTGGTAAGATAGGGGCTGGGGGTTTAGCTCAGCGGCATAAGCACCAGCCTTGAAAGTAGGCAGTTGTGAGTTCGATCCCCGGTACCGATAAAAACGAGAAAGACAAAAAAAAAAAAAAAAAAAACAGTGGTAAGATAGGACAGACTTACTTTATGGGAAGACACGGGCTAGAAAAATTACTACCAGGTTTAGATGAAATTATACAATGCTTCAAGGAGGAGATGACTCCTCCAGGATGGCTGGGAAGCCCAATGCTGTTGAGGGAAATGAATATATAGAGCTTATTTGAAGAATATGCTGAATTTGGATGTGGCACAAACTATACAAATAACAGCTGGAGATACAAAAGGAAAAACAGAATGCGTCAAGATCACTAAAGGTTGTCAAGGTCAGCAACAAGTACAGGTGCTATTCAGTAGGAAATGTCAGGACCAGTTACTCTTTTGTATCTGTTTATTAAACACTATCACTTAGTGATATAAATAAATGGGGGGATGCCAGTCTCCATCCTGTTTGCTCTGAAATTTGTTCTCTATTCTTCCCCTGCTCTATAATGTGTGACAGGAAGTCTCACATCAAACAGGAAAGGTTTCCCATGCTCACATACCAGCTAGCTTCTGACCAAATTTGCGGAATGGAAAGCACTACAGGGAGACTAAAAGTAGGCAGCATGATTTCTGCTCCATCCCCTAATGTTTTGGTAGAATTTCTGTAACTACAGCTCACTTATCAGACAAATCTATCTCCATCCTCTACACAGTTGATTCATCTCTCCTTGTGCTCCTAGCAATGCAGTGGCTTCTGGCTGTACTAACTCTAAAGTGAACTCTAAAGTGACTCATGTCTGATTTGGCTTCTTTTTGTTTTTTTAAAATCACCAATGTAACCAATTACCTCATTAAATCCATGTTAAATACTCACACATTGATTCTACTTTTTCTTAGTGGATGCTAACTCATTTAGAAAGTAACAAACCCATTCAGGAAATTGAAGAAAATTCTGGATCCTTCTTTGCCCAACTGCACATAAACTTTTACAAATAGTTTTGAAGGCTCCCAGAACTTTGAAGCATGTACATTAACACAAGCTTAAGAATACTAAGCAAGACAAAAGTAAGTTTCAGTTTGGGGAAAATGAAAGAGTTCTACAGGTAAATGGTGATGACAGCTGCCATACTTTTGCCACATAATTATTTAGAAATGCCAAACTACATTATGAGTAGCACCCCCCCCAAGCAAACCCAACTATAACCAAGAAATTAGAGAAATTACTAAGGTAATTGCTGGAAAACATTTACGAGATCAAGTCTAATCTTAATCTTAAATGTAAGTGTACTGTATCAGGAGATAGGGAGAGGCAGAACACATAATAACATTTGGAGAAACTAAGTAGTTTGAAATGTCTGCAGCATCGGGCAAACGTTACAATGGGATCATGAAGGAGAAGCAAGAAGGATGAGTTCCATCAGGACCTACTGACAAAAGCTAAAAGGGTAGCCTAAGGACAATGAATGACACTTTGATGTATTTTGGCTCATGCAATATTTTTTAAAATTACATCAACAGCTTGCCACAATTAAACAGCAAAAGGGTTAAATGTAATCAGAGGGCAGTATTGTGATGAAGGTAGTTACAAACAAGTAAAACTGTTCCATGAATAATTACAGTGAAAGGGTGACATATGGCATTAGACAATGTGACAAAGGTTTAGGAAGTGTTTCAGTGCATACATGTTTAAGGGTTTAAGACCTAATAAATGAATGCTGAGAGATATACTTTTCTTAGAAACAGAAAGTATTTGGAACATATTAGGCACCCAAAGATTTCTGAAATAAGTTATGTTATAAAGAAAAAGGGTCGGGGGCTGGGGATTTAGCTCAGCGGCATAAGCGCCTGCCTTGCAAGCAGGCAGATGTGAGTTTGATCCCTGGTACCGATAAAAAAAAAAAAGAAAAAGGGTCAATAAGAGGGGGGCTAAAGATGGCGAGGTACCATATGACAGGAGAAAAATTAGCAAACAAACTTTGATAAGATAAACATACACAATACATACATTAAAAATATATAATACTAAAAGACAAATTCAACAGCAGTAAGTGTAGTGTGGCTTGCTTTAAAATTTTTTTTGTGGGGCTGTAGATTAACTCCAGAACCACACGTATACAGTACTGGATGAATGTTCTATAACTGAGCTACATCCCCAGGCCTCAAGGTTTGCTTCTGTGTATTCAACAAGCATACAGCTGTTTCAACTTTTAGAACATATGCTGTGGCATGAGATACTCTGCAACCAGGCTACTTGGAAAGAAATGACGTACAAAACAGAAGTAGCAGGCAGCATATTGCCAGATTTGTGGCAGTCAAAATAACTGTGAATACAAAAATCTCTAGGATAAAAAAACAAAACAATGATGATGGAGTTTTTATCCATGAAAAGAAAAATAGGAAGTCAAACAGAATAGCTTGAGAAGAAATACAATTTGGTGTAAATTATTCCAATTACAAAATAATATAGCTTTCTTTAGGGGCGATTTTGTCCTCTAGGGGACATACTATTGGACTGGCAATATGTGAAGACATATTCCTCCTCATGACTGGGCAAGTGTAGGGATATCATGGCACCCAATTGGACAGAGGTGAGCAATATTGTCAAACATCTCACAAAACTTGAGCACAGGACAACCTGCCCTAATAAATAATTACTCCAAAATGTCAACAGAAATCACTTTTAATAAGACTATCATTATTGAAACTCAACTGGGCCATCTAACTGTTAAAAGTCAATATTCTTAAGCAAATAACTTACAGAGAAAAAAATAGGGGACGTTAGTTATATTTTTAAAGTTTACTTTTCACTAGTTTACACTTACATCTAGTCTATTATAACATAGGTAGCTTTTATTATAGGTATAGATTATAGGGTGACTACACAAAGGGGTAAAAGATTCAACTTCAAAATATTCGTTCAACCTTCAGTCATCAATTTCCCCAAAAATGATTGGTGGAACCATTTTCCCTTAACATAAGTGTGTATATGGGTGTGTGTGTGTATATATATATTTTTTTCCCCAAAAATGTATCGAGACCTATACCAATACAAAGTTTTTTGGGTATGTTAGTAGTCCTAAAGTCACAAAATAAATGGATTTTTCCAATAAAAGAATGGTATTAATGCTTGTGGAAAGATGCATGGGTGTTTCATCACAGATGTCTACCATTTACTTTTAAATGTTTCGTGATGTTTATAAATCACTGGCTCGAGTTTTGAGCTTTACGTTGCTCTCATTCCTAGCAGTAAAACCCTTTTTAATTTTTCAGGAACAAACAATAACCAAAAACCATCTCCTACATACATAATACATCCTGACACAACATTGGCCAACGAATTAACTGTCTTCAAATGGAGGAAAAACTAACTGGGGCTGAAAAATGTGTAACTAGAAAGCATTCTGTCTGAAATTTTTTACTCGTTAAAGGAATAGGAATCAACTTCTTTCTAAAAATATGCAATTGGCATTTCACATCTCTGCACTAGACGACGTATTGCAGGGTATAGAGAAAGCAGCCGTCCCAAATCCGTAGTTCTAAGCCCGGGTTACGAGCAGGGGGTCAGAAAGCTCTTTCTATAAAGCTGTTCGGCTTATGAAGTCCTATTTTGGTCCTAGTTCTGCAAAGGGAAAAAACTGAAGAACAGGCAGCCCTTCGGTCACGTAGTCAACTCTTTAAGGGGTCCCAATAAAGTGCGCAGGCCTAAGCATCCCCGATTCCAGGCCCCAGGTGTTGTTGCAACCAGAGGCCAGCGGTGTCCACCTACCAAGAGGTTTAAAATGCTCAGCGTCTCCACGGGACGAAAATCACCGCCAGCCTCAACTTGTGACCAAAGAGGCAAACCCCAAATCCTCTCCGGCTAGGCAAAACCTTTGGGCCCAAAGGTCCTTCTGTCCTGCTTAGCCTGGCCCAAAAACCATTTCCGTCGTGTCCGAGCTTACCCAATACCAGCCGGGCCACGTCCGAGGGTAACAACATGATCCAAGACGCAAAAGGAACCACAGTACGAGACGAGACTCAGCTATAAGCAAACAGCGACAGTTCCTGCGCCGCATCTCCCGGTTCCAGTGGCGGTACTGAACCCGCGGCAATTTGTCCCGCCTCTTTCGTTTTGTGCCAACCAATCACTTGCGCGGGAAAAAGAAAGGCGCCGAAATGAATCCCGCCTCTGTGCTCCTTGAGTCTGTCGTCACTTCCGTCCTCAGAGCTGGAGGGTGGGGCTGGAGAGAGAGTGGGAAGGATGCTGGCGCCCTAGCCGGAGGGCAAGCCGAAAACGCAAGATCGCTCCCCATTGGTGGGCAGTGCGCAGGCGCGTTTTCTCACCCGGGGAATAGTTTGGTGTTTGGAACCGAGAGCGCGTGATATTTGTGCGCATGGGCAGTCTGCGCTCCTCTGTTTAGCCTGATTTCTTCCTCTTGAGATGCACGCTACGCTGTCACGCAGGATTTGAACCGGAAGTGGGGGGGCGTGGATAACGGGCTCTGAAGCTGCGGCTGCCAGAGGAGCTGAGGGGAGCTCGCAGTTGGTCTGTGACGACCGCAGCCTCCAGGTACCACTTTGGCCGCCGGAATTCAGCAGTAGTGGCTTCTGCGAGGGAAAATTCGTGTCTACCGAGTCTCTTCTCGCCGTTGTCTGGATGCAGCCTCACGCACTGCTGGAGCGGCCCGCGCCGGTGCCTCCACGCCGTTCTGGCCGCGTGCTGAGCTCCTGCGGGACTTAGCCCAGATCCTCCTTTGAATGCCTTGAATTGAACCTCTCTTCTACGCGTCCCGTTTTCCTGTCACCTTAGGGTTCAGATTTATATGGTGTGACTTGACTAGAATTTTTTTTCCTCGCAATTAATGCTCTTAGTCGCCTGCCATTTGAGATTTAAACTACAGCCTTGTACTTAAGAGCTCGCTATGGAATCACAACACTAGAGTTCGAATACTGGTTATCAGCTTTGTGCTCTGCGCTGTCTTTCTCTGAAAATAAGTGACAAGCCTTAGCTGTGTTTGGAATTTGTGAGCCTTAGCTACCACCTTGAAGTACAAATGGGTAGAAAGACAACTACTGATCAAGGTGATACTGTAATGTGATAAGAGTACCTTGCTGACGGGAGGGCGACAGGTTCTGTGGAAATTCAGCCTGGGAGAATCCTAACAGTTTCGCAATTGCTTTCCAGGATAGAAGCCTTCAGGGCAGGAAGGAAAATGTGTGTAATGCCACAAAAGTGTAGAAAGTTAGTCTCAGGAGTGAGATCTGGCATTGAATATACTTCAAAAGTGTTCGGCATGTCATAGCCAGGAATGGTTAAAAGCAAGGAGACAAGAATGTTCTTTTGGGGAGGCTGGGGATTTAGCTCAGCGGCATAAGTACCTGCCTTGGAAGCAGGCAGTCATGGGTTCGATCCCTGGTACCGATAAAAAGGAAAAAGACAAAAAAAAAAAAAAAAAAAAAAAGAATGTTCTTTCGGGTGTGAATGGACTCTCAGTAGGGACTTAAATGAGCAGGGCGAAGTTGCCCAGGGCTTTTTGGAGGCTGAGGAGGATCAGATTTTGGAGCCCAGACTAAGGAATTTAACGACTTAGTGAAATCCTGTCTCAAAATAAACGACTGCTGGGGATGTAGCTAAGTGTGTAGCTAATGCCCTGGATTCAAAGCCTAGTACCAGAAAAAAAAAAAAAAAAATCTAGCCTGGGCAACCTTGGACTATCTCAAAATAAAATTCTTACAGGGCAGGGGGTGTAGTGTAGTGGTATAGTGCTTGAATATCATGCACAAAGCTCTGGGTTTGGTCCCTAGCACCACTGTAAATGAATAGATAATCAATAATACAAAGATACTGGAAACAATCAGAAGGAAATGTGATTATTGAACATTTGCTGTATTCCAGGCTCTGTATGTTAATATGAATTCTTACAACAATACTTTGAGGTGGGTTGTAGTTTTATAGTTCATTTTCTCGCTGAGAAACAAGTTTAACGACGTTAGTTAAATTGCAGGGAGTTACATAGTTTTTAAGTGGCTTGAGTAGAATTGCAACCAACACAACAGAAATCAGACTACAGAGCCCACACTTTTAACCACTAGACAAGGACGGTGCACTAAGGGCAGATTCAGTTTAGGCAGATGGGAATGTAGTCATTGTCAGATTCTGTAGAAAGATTATCTTGGGTGAAATCAGAGATTTCAGTTGAATGTTGGGAGTGGAATTTAGATAGGCTGAATTGATATTTAAACAGATTTCATCTTAATGTGTTAAGTAACTGCTTCCTAGTTTTCTGGCTTTCAGTTCCTCCAACATACCACATTCTTTCCCACTTCAGGATCTCTTGGTTATGCTTCTCTTTATGTTGGACCTCTAGCTTTTTCTATAATGGCACCATTTCATTCAGGTCTTGACTATTGTAACTTCCTTCTAGATGTTTCCTAACAGTTTATCTAAAACGAGTACTGTTATTTTCTATTGTATATTTGTTTCTTTTGAGTCATGTATCACTGTGGAATTACAGATTGATTTAAGTGTTTATTGTCAGTCTTCTACCTAGATGTGTCTCCATGAAAGTAAGATTCATGTCAATTTAGTTTGTATTTCATATAGCTAGCCCAACATGGTAACTCAAACACAGTTAGGTGTGAAGTATATAGTTTGCATGTATCAGTGAACGAATGTCTCTGTTTTTGTAGATAATGCTTAACTGTTGTTTTCTTTAAAAAAAATTTACATTTTGAACTGGGCATGGTGCTGCACCTGTATAATCCCACCGCTCAAGAAGCTGAGGCAGAAGGATCATCAAGAATTTGAGGCCTGCCAGGGATTTAGTTCAGGGGCATAAGCGCCTGCCTGGCAAAAAAGCAAGGTCATGAGTTGGATCCCTGGTACAAAAAAAAAAAAAAAAAAGAATTTGAGGCCAGCCTGGGCTACATGGTGAGTTCAAGGTCAGCCTAAATTGCAAGTGAGACCCTATCTCAAAAAAAAACCAAAAACCAAAAAAACTCCACATGTATACATAGTGGTAGTATTGATTCTGCCTATACACTAGTGGGGAATACCATCCCATTTTCTTCTCATGGTCTCTTTAGTCTCTTTCTTCAGAGTACTACCATTTTCCTTATGAGGTGTTTTATCTCCTGGTTAGGTTGATTCATAGGTATTTTAATATTTTTGAAGCTACCCTGCATGGGATTGTTTTTCTCATTTCTTTCTTGGTAAATTATTGGCATGTAGGTTGCTTTTGATTTTTGTGTGTTGTTTTTGTATCCTGACACTTACCTGAATTTGTTTATTAGCTCTTAGTGTCTTCGGTGGAACTTTCAGGTCTTACATGTAAAGGATCGTACCCACAAATAAGACAGTTTGACATCAACCTTTCCTGTTTGTATGTATGTTTTCCTTCTTTTCTTGCCAGGTAGCTCTGGTTACACTTCTCAAGTAGTATGTTGAGCAAGAATGGTGAGAATGGACACCTTTGTGTTGTTCTTGGTTTTAGAGGAAATGTTTTCAGTTTTTCCCCATTAAGTATGATGTTGTCTGTGAGTTTGTCATAAATGACTTTAATTATTTGGAGGTAAGATCCTCCTGTACCTATTTTCGTCAGGGCTTTATCGTGTATAACTGTTCAATTTTGTCAGTGGCTTTTTCTGCATCTATCCATATGATCATGTGGGGTTTTTTTATCCTTCTCTTTACGTGGTGCTGTTTGTTACTTTGTGTGGTGAGAGTACCAGGAATCGAACTCAGGACCTTGTGCTTGCCAGGCAGGCACTACACTACTGAGCTATATCCTCAGCCCCTGTGTTACTTTTTTGTTTTGTTTTGTTTTTTGCAGTACTGGAGATTGAACTCATGACCTTGCGCTTGCTAGGCAGGCGCTTATGTCACTCAGCCAAATCCCCAGGTACTTTTTTGATTTATGTGTGTTTGTATCATTTTAACATCCCTGGAATGTAACCAACTTGTTCATGATACATGCTCTTGTTAATAATTTGTTGTGTTCTGTTTCCCTGTATTTATGTTGAGGATCTTTATGTCTGTGTTCATTAATGAGATTGGCCTGTAGTTTTCTTTCTTTGCATTTTTGTCTGGCTTTGGTGTCAAGGTATGGCTGGCTTTAAGGACTAAATTTGGCATTGTTCTTTCCATTTCAGTTTTTTTTTTTTTGTCTTTTTCATTTTTATTGATACCAGGGATTGAACTCACGATCACACACTTGCAAGGAAGGCGCTTATGCCACTAAGCTAAATCCCCAGTCCCTCCATTTCAGTTTTATGGAAGAGTTTCAGAAATACGGCATTAGTTCCTCTCTGAAGTTCTTGTAAAATTCAGCAGTGAATCCACTGAGTTCTGGGCTTTTCTTAGTTAATAAAAAGATTAAAGCCAAGTGTGGTGGTGCATGCCTGTAATCCCAGCACTTAAGAGGCTGAGGCAGGAGGATCATTGTGAGTTCAAGACCAGCCTGGGCTACAAAGTGAGCTCAAGGCCAGCCTGAACTGCATATTGAGACCCTATCTCAAAAGACAGGACAAGGACAAGGGCCAGGACCCCAGACTATAGAAGAATTGGGAATCTCATTCATTTATAATGGAAATACAAAACTGTATTGTTACTTTGGAAAGCATTAAATGAGTTTTAGTTAAGTGATTTAAAAATTATACTTTTCCTTGTCTTTCTGTTGCAAAGACCATATTTGTGTGTTGGATGATTGCTTTGACACAGTCTAAGAATGTCATTTTAAATGGAAATATTAAGAAACGTCTTTGTGCCTTTGATCATAATGTGCCTGTGGTTGTACAATTAAATCTAAGTGTGTATCAATGCTACAGTGTAAAATATATATAGTCTAGAAGTGTAGCTTAGGGATAGAGCAAATGCATATTATGTTTAAGTCCCTGGGTTTAATCTCCAGTAATAAAAAAAAAATGCATGTAACAAAATAAGATAATTAGTGTGTTTGTGCATATATATATATATATATATTTTATTTGTTTGTTTTTTTCCTAGGAAATGCTAAATCATGAGTCTTGCACTTAATAACCTTCTTATTTGTTGCCGGCAACTGGAAAATGATAGAGCTACAGAACGAAGGGTAGTAAATTACTTAAATTAAATTTTTCTTTGGAACAAATATGTGGCTA